AAAGGATACACATAAGGCAGAACATGGGCGTACATGGCGGGCGCAGCTTGGCTTCGGGCCAACCAGCGATCGCCGTGCCGGAATCACCCTTGATAGACTTCATAATCCACAATGTCTGCCGGTTTCGGGTATCACACTCTGGCGCGTTTTTGTTGATGAACTCGATGCCATCTTCGAGATCATCGTTGTCTGGATTCCATGTGTCCTTGGCCTGCGATCGCTTGAGAGGCTCCTTGGGTGGCTCCAGCACGCGCCATCGGACATGGAAGCCGTTGACCTGGTTCAGGAGCCATTGCACGGCCTTCTTGACAGCCCATGGACCTTGCCTAAACAATGGCCCGAAACGTCTGCCTCCACACAAGTGCTGGGCTGCCTGCCGAGACAAAGGCTGCTTGAAGTAGACCACTTGCATGACATCCGGCATCCATCCCCTAAGTTGCACACCATGAGGTCCGCGCTGGCGTCTGGCGGCACATCGACACGAAAACGAAGCTCAGGTGGAAGCTCACTGAATTTAGCTTGGGCAACAGTGTCACCGAGGGCAAAGGCGTGGCCACACTCGGGGATGCTGTAGTGAACATCAAACAAGATGGCAATGGACTTGAGTCCATCCAAAGGCCGACACGCACCAGCCACAAAGTCCTGAATGGAAATGTGCTCCGAGCACTCGTTCCTGTAGCAAGTGGCGTGAGAAAGCATGCGATGGTTGAGTTTTTGCTCGTTGACCTGGCGGATGGCATCATCGAACAAGTTCGCGGCCATGACAGCACGTGCTATAGGGCGCAGCAAGGAGGACCGGAAGGACAAATCTTGGAGCACAGAAGCTTGGAGACACCGACGCTGAGTACAGGCTTGGCAGTGTGTGATGTCGTAGAATTTTGACCATTGAGTGGCGGTGCAGCAAAGTGAGACGGTTCGGTAGGGCTTGATATCGCGACGATGAGGATGATGATGATGATGATTACGATGATGAGGATAGTGATGCTGCTGATGATGATGAGGATGCTGCCGTTGATGATAACGATGGTGATGTTGATGTTGATAACATTGTTGCTGTTGACAATGTTGGTAGCAGTATTGGTAACAGCGGTGTTGGTGCCAACCATCCGTCGTCATCGTGTTCGTCTTCACCATCATCATTATTACCATGAGCATCCTCATCATCATCATGATCATCACCATCATTATCATCACTACCTCACTATCACCACCGCAGTCATCACTAGTACAGGATTCGTAAGACGCGAAGGCGACAGCACGAACCCAAGCATGCACGCACTCTTGTTCCCGCCGCTGCTTCTTGGATCCCCAAACTGTTGCCTTGTGCTCTATGCCCTAATACTCTATGCCCCGTGGGCCTCATCATACTGGGATTTGGCTTTATGAATCTTGTTCAAAAGCCCGGTGCAAACCACACGCTGCTTGCCGTTGCTACTTGAACCAAGAAGGTCCAACCCCGAGGCGAAAGCGTCGTTCCACATATTTGGCCACTCTGAAGTGCCGACACGCTGAACCGCGGCCATAGACACACGATGAAGAGGAAGATGAGGAATCCCAGTGTCGTCGTTGTGGGAGTTGTTGGGCTCGCACTCACCATTGTCCTCGGGAATGTCGCCATCGCAGGTGCCATCTTCGAGCACGAGGGGTCGTTTCTTGTCCTTGATGGTTGGGGAGTCTGGCTCCTTGTGATTCCGATCCTTCTTGGGCTCAGCGAGGAGGGATAGAAGCGTTGCAGCCGCTTTGGCATTCCACGCACCTCCCAACCCAACCTGGAGCTTCAGGCCGCGTTGGATGTTGTTCAACATGATCCTGAGGGTATTGGCATCCATCGGCATCCGCGTAGCATGAATCGCAACCCTGCCCTCCTGGATAGCAGCCAACATCTCTTTGTCCGAACGTGTATCGGAAAGGGGCCACGGCCGTGGAGAGTAAGCGAATGTTGGATTAGAGCTGCTGGCATTCGAAGGTTCTTGAGCAGGTTGATGGGGCGTCAACGTCAGCACTGCGGCCCTCCCAGAAAGGACACGGATCCTGTCACGCGGACTTCAGACATGGCGACTGCGATACGGGAAGATTGAGCACGAGGATTTTTGAACACTAGCAGCTAACATACAACGTGAAGTTAACAATGATTCGAGTGGGCATCACAATCTGATAAACCCTGACTACGAGTACGACTCTGAAGACGACAATTGCTGATGCTACTACTGCTGCTGCTGCTACTACTACTACTACTACTACTACCACTACTACTACTACGACGACTACTACTACTACTACTACTACTGCTACTACTAGCAATACTACTGCTACCACTACCACCACTACGACCACCAACCCCCAACACCACTACTACTGCTACTGCTGCTACTACTACTAATACTGCTACTGCTACTGCTCCTGCTACTGCTACTGCTACTGCTACTACTACTACTACTACTACTACTACTAATACTACTACTAATAATAATAATAGTAATACTGATAATAACCATAGCCATAGTCCAATACGTCACCCCTGAACCTGAAACCTGACGCACTTGGGATCGGGGGCCGATTGCACGCAAGCGGCGCCGATTGAACTCAATCGGCCCCGATTGAAATCAATCGGCCCCCGATTGAACTCAATCAGCCCCGATTGAACTCAATCGGGCCAGGGTAGCCTAAACCCAACCACAAAATGGTGCATCAGCAAGCCCTTCACCTCAAGGATCTACTATTTTCGTGTGGTGGAGGGCCCCTCCCCCTCAAGGATGTACCGTTTTCGTGTGCATGGGGGGGACCATATTAATATACATATGCATATGCATAT